TTATAACACTTTATAATCATATTATAATAAATAAAAGACATTATAATTCGAATATAATGGATTAAATAACGCTTTTATAATTGCTGATCTAACTCTGTATAACGGTTATATAATATGTATATTATAATGGATTTAAATTCATTTTAATCCTTTTATAATGGTTTAAAACACATTATAATTATGTATTATATTACATTATAATGTTATTATAATTACATTATAACAAATATAAAAAATTATTAATTAAAATTCATTACAGTAGTAATAATGTGATTAAAATAAATTATAATGTATTATAATGAAAAAATAAGGAATTATAAGACATTACAATACATGTATAAAGGATTACATCATACTATAATCTTATTATAATGAATTATAACATATTATAAACCTAATATAATGGATTATAATACATTATAATTCAAATATATTGTATTAAAGCGCTTTATAATGCTATTTCTATGGATTATAATATGTTTTGAAAACTATAATGTGATTATATTGAATAAAAACTCATTATAATGCCAATAATATGTTTCTAATCGATTGAATTGTATTATAATGCCAATATAATATATTATAATACATTAAAATACTATTATAATAGATTATAACACATTATAATATTATTATAATATATAATAAGACATTATGATTGTATTATAACGTATTATAGTACATTATAATACGATTATAATAGATTAAATCTCTATTGAGAAAGAATAACACCACGAGGAATTGATATCTACTTAGATCAAAGTGAGTGAAGTGGTCGTTAACTTTAAATTTACACCAATGTGCATTATGGTATAAATTTTGGGGGCAATTTAGCAATTTAGTGTCCTGTTTAAATACTATAAATTTCTAATAGTTTCATAATAGAAAGTATTCTTTGTTACACTGTACATTATTTTTTAACTAATTAATTCAGAATTTTGCCATGGAAAATATATCTGAAAAAGAAATTAGGCTAAAATAGCCCAGTTTAAAACAACACATCCACAATCCATTTCCAAAGCGAATGGTCATTAGCACAGCTGCAACAAACATATATATTTTCTTACAACATTACAAATTTTGTCAAAAAGCTGAAATTGTTGAAACAAATTCTGAAAAGTGAACTTAAAACTAAAAACCTATACTGAAAGAAAACTATTACCTGTCAAATTAATTAGTTAGTGGCCACATTTAATTTATTGTATACTATTTGCAATGACTTGACTGAAAAATAATTTATCAAATTTATCAGCCATAAAACGAAGTATTTTTCTTGAATTCTCGTAATAGGAGGTATATCGACTATTAGGTTGTCTTGACCAGTTGCTAATGTTTACTATGTCTTAAATATTTTAATATTAAAAAACTGCTGAGTGCAACACAACTTAATTATATGTGATTGAAGCATGTCAGAATTAAGTAAAACGCATTATAATAGTTTATAACTCATTATAATGAGTTTATAATGTATAATAATACATCAGAATGCTATTATACCATGTTTTAAATATTTTAATATTAAGAAACTGCTGAGCGCAACACAACTTGTAATTGAAGCACATCACAATTAAATAAAACGCATTATAATAGTTTATAACTCATTATAATGAGTTTAAAATGTATAATAATACATCAGAATGCTATTATAATATACTATTACATATTATAATTTAATTTTTATACATAATAAGGTATTATAATTACATTATAATGAATTATAGCTCTTAATAATTTGATTGTGATTATATTATAACACATAATGAAAAACCAAAGGCATTATAATAGATTATAATATATTATTACATACATTTAATGAACCATAACACATTATAATACGATTATAATTGATCAAGAGTCATTATATTATAATTTATTATAATTTATTATAATGTATAATAATACATTAGAATGCAATTATAATATATTATTATACATTATAATGTAGTAATCATACATAATAAGGTATTATAATTATATTATAATGAATTGTAGCTCATTATAATGTGATAATAATAAATTGTTACAAAAAACCAAAGTTATAACACATTATAACATATATATAATAAATCATAACAAATTATAATTGATCAAAACCCATTATAGTTCTATTATAATGGATTATAATTTATTATAATGCGATTATAATTTATTATAATGCGATTATAATTTATTATAATGCGATTATAATTTATTATAATGCGATTATAATTAATCAAAACCCATTATAATGTTTTATATTATATTATGATTATAATATATTGCAGCATATTATAATTGAGTGTAATTATACCACAAAGGAATAGAAATATTGTTCATGGGTACTTATTAGGGTGATCGAATCGATTTTTCAACCGGTTTTAAAACCGGTTTTTTCTGCTTTACCAGTGTCGGTTTTTTCTTAATGTTGATTTTTCGAATATCGAATAACCCGGTTTTTTCACTTTTTAAAACCCGGTTTCGAATACCTTTATTTGCATTGTATTCAAAGATTATTTAAATGAAATTTTTAAGTAAATAATAATACAGCCCGTCTAAATTTTAAAAATATTCGAGTCGAGGAACTAGCGTATATTTTTCTACAGCTCCTTTGGTTAAACTTTCTTGATTTTCCTAATTAATTAAAAAAATTTATTTGTAAAATTAATAACTATTTGATAAAATTTTATCAATTTTAAGATTATATTCCAATTACAATAATTAATTTACGGCTGAAATTTTATGGAAGTGTTGGAATGCCTATACAAATATCCTAAACAGGGCTTTTAAAATAGCTAGGATTACATAGTACCTTATGTTTAACAGAAGTGTCCCACTTTTTTCCTAATTTTTTTATATTAAAGAAATAATGTAAATCAGACGACTAGATCTTAAGTTATAATCTTTTAAACTGTTAAAAATCATTTCGGACCATGTTTTATTAATCAAATTTAAACATTAACATTAAGTTTTTCAAATTAAAATATATTTTTTTATTTATAATGAAAAACCGGTTAACCGGTTTTTTCTGAATTTGAAAAATATCAACCGGTTTTTTTAAAATGTCAACTATTCGAACTATTCGAAAACCGGTTTTTGGAAAATGTCGAATAATCGATCACCCTAGTACTTATACATTTCGAGAAAGATCTAGTCGTTAATCTCGTGTATGTAATCTCGTAAGATATTGAAATTTCACCAAATTATTTCCCAATAAGACCTAAACGTTAAAATACATTGAAATATTTCCCAATATTGTTTAGACTATATGGCCAAGAAATCTAAAAATTTTGAATCGGTAAGAAAAGTAAATAAAAATAGTTGGTCCGATATTTTAACACGTTTCATATTTTGGTGGTGACAAATAAGAATCGGCACAACACCCTTAAATGATATAATTTCCCAATTTTCTACTTTTTAAGGTTAACTGCTATTGTTCGCTATATGCAGATAGTGATCACAGTTTTTAAGACACATAATCCCTTAAAACGTTTATAATCAAAAATTATTCTTAGTGTCCAGATACGATTACAAAAATGTATTAAAAGCTTTAAATTTAAGTGTAGTAAATACCTGTTCTTCGTTAAGATAATTGGGTAGACCACCTATAAAGATTTTATGAGGTGAATCTGGTACCACAGTGGAAATGACACCATTAGCTGCAAAGAGAAAAACAAACAATTAGTTATTAAATAACAATAAAAGTTTTTGCAAATTTGACACTTACTAACTGGTTGTGGTATAGGTGAACTATCCACCACTCCCGGCATGGGTTGATAATCATGAGGACGGCGAATTTTCAAACTTTGACCCTTAAAATTGATGCCATCAAAAGCCATGGCCTGTGTGGTCTCATCGGTCGAACGAAACTCCAGAAAAGCGAAATTTTTATCCAAATTAATTTGACAGGCCAAGACGGGATTACCGGCCGCTTGCGCTAGACCAGTCAAATGCATTTGCTGGTTAAAGAACTCCATCATTTCATCTTCAGTCACACCGAAGGGAATATTGCCCACATACAAACGTCTGGCCTGGCGGGTGATAGTCGAGCCCACCACAGGCACAGCAGCCTGTGGTATGTCGGGTACAGTGTTTGCTGGTATTTGACCAGAAGCTTGCATAGCTTTGTATTGCAAAGGAGTGATGTGTTCAAAACCTGGTGGCGGTACATCCCAGTACAGAGAAGGCTTGCGACGTCTGGTACCCTTAATGCGTGCCCCGGAACCTCTAAAATCTACACCGGGCACATCACGTCCACGACGCTCACGATCACGTGAACGGGAACGACGCCTATCACGAGAACGTGATCTAGATCTGTGGCGGCGTCTATCACGGTCTGTAAATGTTAAAATTACACAAAATTTGTTTATTTGCCAAGCATAGCGTGGTGGTGGTGGCGATGCATTTTGTCGAGTGTGAGTGTACACAATTTTTCGCAGTAATAAATCGTCATTTTACTCTTCCCAATACTTACCATCTGAACCCATTTTTGTTAAAACTTGATATAATTTATTGTTTAAAACAAATCTAAAACAGTTTTATATATTTCTGCAATTATTTTTAATAAAAAATTGCAAAAATTTACGGACTACGCAAGGAAAATTTTTTTTAGTTTTGACAAGATTTAGCGCCGCTTGCAGTTAGGGTTGAAAATATATGAGGTACTTGAGTATTCAGTATTTGAAATTATTTTTCTAGGTACTCGATAATAAAACGTATATTTAGAGATGTATTTTTTTTGGAAATAGTGTTTTTATTTGTTTTTAATAATATTAGTAATTTTATTGCTTTAAAATATTTCAGAATAACTTTTATAATCAAGAACTCATCTCTTATTTTATCCTTGTTTTATGTGGGGTTTGCTAGTAATTAATCGGTTATTCTATAAGAGTAACCAACAATAGACTTTTGCTGGTAATAAACAGTACCGGGTGTTTCATAAACAAATTAGCTTTACATAATCTATTACAATATCTTGTCAACTTTGTCAGCCATATTTGTTGTTATATTTTTTCACAGAAAAACATTCAAGGAAGTGTATAACATTTTTAAAATTTATTAAAAATTAGTGAAAAACTTGTTTAAAATTGCAAAAATTTTATAAATACTTTAAATAAAAGTAGCTGGCTTACTTTGAATATTAAATAAAGTAGAAAATTAAGAAAAACACTTACAAAACTGTGTTTTAAACATCATTCGTAATGGGTTATGACGGTAAGTGAGGGTGGCAGTTTTTAAGACACTTGCAAAAATTTTTGTATAGATATAAAGGTAGGATATGTACCTTTCATCCGTGAATGGTTATTTCGGAAAGAAATTTTTGATTTTAGCAATAATTAAAATAATTTAAAAGAAATAATTGTAATAAAATTAATTAAAAAGATACATGTTTTTCACAGAACGACGCCGCCACCGTACCAGATCTCGTTCACGATCTCGCTCTCCCCACTCACGGGAACATCACCATCGCAGCCATGGAAAATCAAGAGATCGTGATCGTTCGCGAGAACGTCACTATCATAAATCATCATATCGCCGCAAACCTTCCCTCTATTGGGATGTACCACCACCCGGTTTCGAACACATCACACCCATGCAATATAAAGCTATGCAAGCTTCTGGACAAATACCGGCTAGTGTTATACCCGATATACCACAAGCTGCTGTACCAGTAGTTGGATCCACCATCACTCGCCAGGCTAGACGTTTATATGTTGGCAATATACCCTTTGGTGTGACCGAAGATGAAATGATGGATTTCTTTAATCAACAAATGCATTTGGTGGGTCTAGCACAGGCGGACGGTAATCCCGTATTGGCATGTCAAATAAATTTGGATAAAAATTTCGCCTTTTTGGAGTTTCGTTCAATCGATGAGACCACTCAGGCTATGGCTTTCGATGGCATAAACTTTAAAGGGCAAAGTTTGAAAATACGTCGGCCTCATGATTATCAACCAATGCCTGGTATGAATGATACACCAAGTGTTAAGCCGGCAGTTGGTAAGTTTATTAATGCGTATACCATGATGTGTTATTAAAGATTTTCTGAAACTTTCAGTATCTCCAAGTGTTATATCAACTGTTGTGCCGGATTCTCCGCATAAAATATTCATTGGTGGTTTACCCAACTATTTAAATGATGATCAGGTAAGTTTCTGCTTTTTATAGTTCGTTTTATACATTTTAGGTTGCCACAACGTACATTGTTCAAATGCACTGTAACGATTTACATTTTGAAGGTCAGATGAAGCACCATAAAATATTTTAAAACCATCGTATAGATATGTTGAACATGCCAGCCTAATTAATGTTTAAGGACATTTTTAAAAGATTAATTGACAAACCGTCAGTTTTGGAACCCATTATGTGAATTGAATAAAAAACACATTCTATTTTCAGCTTTAACAGCTTGACTACTTTTCCATAGTAGTTATTGGCTGTTAAAGTTAAAGCTTCAAAGCTAAAATGAAAATCTAAAATAAATTTAATTATAAAATTCTTATCCACAGTTACCTCTAATTTGAGGTACATATTTTAAACACAAACTATTTTTGTTTTTCAGCTTTATATTGTTTTCAGCGCAAAAAAAAAAACTTTTTATTGTTATTTTTTTCAAATTTCAGCGAAATTTTCTTTTTTCCAGCTTATAGTTTAAAAATTGTTTTATAACATTATACTTATTGTTTTTTCTCCACTTGTATAATTATAGATTAGTTGTTTGAGCCGTACTGCTCCTTTAAACCATAAATGTAACGTGACAACTACTACTGTAATTGATAGAATTATTATTGTTAACGTTAACTATAGGAAAACGTTATTGAAAAACCTCCTCTTAAAACAAAACATTTGCTTTAAAACACATTTTGCTAAAATGAACAAAAACACTATTAGTTTCTGTAATTGAGCAAAAGAAATTTCTTTGACATAAAAAGGCAAGTTAATTTCTCTAAATAAAAACACTACATACTTTCAAATTTCTGCTAAGAAATCAAGGGGTTAAGTATTTACTACTAACCGACTAACCAGCAGAATCGAAATGAAACAAAAATGTTTAGACTTTTTTTTATTAGTTTGCAATACATTTTTGTTTTATCGAAATATTTAAAAAGTTCTTAATTTCTGATAAAGATTTGTTTGTTTTACGTGTTTAGGTTAAGGAGCTTTTGTTATCATTTGGCCAACTAAGAGCCTTTAATCTGGTCAAGGACACTGCCACTGGTCTAAGTAAAGGTTATGCTTTCTGTGAATATGTTGATTTAAGCATAACGGATCAGGTAATTTCGGATATAAAGTACCAATGTAAAGAAATTTGGATTTAAATGTTTTGTTCTTATTTTTGTTTAGGCTATAGCTGGTCTTAATGGCATGCAATTGGGTGATAAAAAGTTAATAGTACAAAGAGCCAGTGTGGGTGCTAAGAATGCACAAAACAATGCCACAGCAGCAGCTCCTGTAACAATACAGGTTAGTTATGGTCCATAATGGCCTTATTCATAATAAAAATCTAACTACTGTCTAACGAGCTAGGAATTTACACACAAAAAAGTTAGCAGCTTACTTTCTTACTCACTTTCTTACTTCTCAGGTTCCTGGCTTATCCACTGTCATAACAACCGGTCCACCTACCGAAGTTTTATGTCTCCTCAATATGGTCACTGCTGATGAGTTACGTGACGAAGAGGAATACGAAGAAATTCTTGAAGACATTAAAGAGGAATGCAATAAATATGGTGTGGTACGCAGTGTCGAAATACCACGACCCATTGATGATGTTGATGTCCCCGGATTGGGCAAAGTATTTGTGGAATTCAATTCGGTTATCGATTGTCAAAAGGCTCAACAGGCCTTAACGGGTCGCAAATTTAGTGAGCGTGTCGTAGTCACTTCCTACTATGATCCGGATAAATATCATAGACGTGAATTTTAAGCAAATCGTAAACATGCCGTAATTTTTAAACTGTTAACAATTTTATCTCTAAATTTATATTAAAATTTGTATAAATTATATTTACAAAATACCAGAAAAGAAAAAAGTACACATATTTTTAATAATACTTTGAAAAACTCATAGTCATTGCTAATAAACTGTTTTTAATTTTAAAATCTCCTTTACAAAATAAAGAAAGTCTATTTTATTTAAGGGAATTGAAAAACAACAATAAAAGTAGCGCACATAATAAACACTTAAGGCCCAAATAGACTACACAAGCGGCTTGACAAACATACCAATATTTTACGTTTGCGCAAGCCTGTTGTGTAGTGTATAAGGGTGTTTCGTGTTTGTACAAATGCTTGCTGTTTGTTTGTACAAAAATTAAAAAATTTTGATTTTTACACAAACATATTGAATTCTTGTCAAACTATTTGTATTGTTTATATTCAATAATAACAAAATTTAGAAAAAAATTACATTTCTAAGAAAAATTGACATCTGTATCTTTGAAAGTCCACAGAAACGTGAAAAGATTGGTGCTTGTACGAGCAATGTTTGTGTAATGTGTGTGCGAATGAAAAAAGTATGTTTGATATGCCGCTTGTGTAGTCTATTTGGGCCTTTAAATTAATTCATACATAACTTGCTCCCACATATCGCGTAATTATAAATGACTTCACTCTCTTTTGTGTGGTTTGTCGATTGTGGTCGCAATTGCAAACAATAACACATTTCCAAAAGCGTTGAAAAAAACCGTTATAATTATTAAATTGACGTTTATATCACAAAAACCATCTATCTATATGTATCACTCTGTTAAAATGGCCGTATTTACACAAAAATCCTAAATGTCACAAACAGCTGGTTACACCAAAAAAATTTAACAACAGAAGAGATTTAAGAATTTTTTGTTTTTCGTTTACGTGGAATTGTTAACTTTCTGTACAGTTTTTCTCTAAAATTAATAAAATATAATAAGTTTTTAAATAAAAAACCCCACAATAATATACTTTTCAAAATGATTGAAGTAACAGATTTACAAAGTAAGTTGCAGTAAGCAGTATTAACTCGCAAACAATTTGCAATTTTTTTTTTCGAACCACAAAAAACAAATTGTTTACATTTTGTTTAAAATTTATTTTTAGAAATTGGTATTGGTTTATCGGGCATGGGCATAGGTTTTCTATTCCTGGGTGTACTATTTCTATTCGACAAAGGTTTACTGGCCATAGGAAATGTAAGTATTTGTTAGTGTAATTTGGTCATTAAAATTTCACTATTTTAAATGAGTTCAAATGTCAATGTCACTGGATTTTAGTTATTATATTGTGTGTAATACGTTTTCTTTGTTGTTTTAGATTCTTTTCTTATCTGGCTTGGGTTGTGTTATCGGTTTGGAACGCACATTTCGTTTCTTTTTCCAACGTCATAAAATTAAAGGTTCTATAGCATTCTTCGGTGGCATTTTTGTGGTTCTATGCGGTTTTCCCATCATAGGCATGGTTATAGAATCCTATGGTTTCTTTGCCTTGTTTAGCGGTTTCTTCCCAGTGGCCATAAGTTTCCTAAGCCGTGTACCCATTTTGGGTTCACTCATCAATACACCATTTATGCAAAAGGTAAGTCAAATTAATAAAACAAGTTTTCTTTTTAAAAAGATGCTTTTGTTTAAACCTTTTTTATTGTTAAATTAGTTTATATTAGCATCTCCGGTAAAGAATTTTTCCTAATAGCGATTTTAAAAGAAAATAGTTTAATAATTACAAAATAAACTTGTACATCACAAGCCTTTTTTGGCCATTTAGTGATTGTTGTTCCATTCTTGACGTTCTTCACGTTCTCTAATGACTTCCTTCAAATAGGGCTCCAAGTATTTAACATCTTCTTCGTATTTGGTCCATTGCTCTTTGGGCAAAACAGTTTTGGTCATAGACAAGTGCAAAGCGCGCATAATACGGTAGTTACGTTCATCATACAAGTTACGGGGAAGACGACGGATTGCTTCCTTGACATCTTCGTTTTCGTACAAGCAATCATCACGGTGCAAACCTACAAAACAAATAATAGTGAGGTTAGGTTTTTGTGCTTTTAACTTATAATTCTCTTGCCCTAAAAGCGAATTTAAATTTTATATAAATTTTACTTAACTTACCGTATTGATTGAATCCAGACAAGTTATAAGCCCATTTGCCCAAGCTGGCTGTAATTGTTATCAATAGTTTATTAAGTGTTTTCCATTGTTTACGTAATCATACAGAAGTTCAATAATTTTGCTAAATTCTTTTTTCTAAACTCAGCAAAATCTTTATATTCATTTAAATACTTACAGAAAACCATGGGACCTTTTCTGGCAATGTATCCGGACATTTTTTATTTTGTTATTTTCTTTTAAAAACTTGAAAATCTCTTAAAAGTTGCTTTTTACGGCCGTGTTTCAGAAATTCTGCACGAATTTTTTCGTTTCTTCTTTAGTCCCCTTATTTTTCGTTGAATTGTCAAGTTTGACAAATGTCAGTGTCAAGTTTTGTAATAGATTAAAGAAAGTGGGGGAAAATATTGATTAGTATTAACACAGGGTTGTTTTTGTTTAAACCTTTGGGGAATGTGCGGTATAAATAAGTAACAAGTAAAATATTCATAAGTAGAACTTTATAACCGATAAAGTCTGATAAATTACCTAGCCTATATAGGTAATTGGAATAAAGAAATTGAAATAAAAAAATGTGGGCACCGTAACATTACGTTTGGTTTATCACACAGCGCCAGTTTTGCTTAACAAAAGTGGCCCACTAGGCATATTATATAAATTAAATTTTTTTTATTACACAATCCCGTGTATAGTCTATGTAGGACCATATAGACCTATTTAGAGTAACATTTAGGACTTAAGTTATTTAATGGATTTATATGTTTCTAATAAAAAGTACAATTTATTCTTAAATTTCATTAATTGACTTATTTTCTCCTTTCTCTATTTCAGCTCGTTGAAAAACTTGGTGGTGATGCTAATCGAACGAGGGTATAGTTTTAATATAATATTGTTTTCTAATTATAATTTCTCATCTAAGGATTTATATCAATATAAAACTTTATAGTTTAAATTTACTTTAAATTAACTTAACTCAAGAGAAAACAAAACAAAAAATATTTCTTATAGAAAAATAATCGAAAAAAAAGAAAAACGTTTTCGTTTTTTAAACAAATTTTTCTATAACAACTTTAAAACAAAAAACACTTTTTGTATGTGAACAGTAAGTTAAAAGTTTATTTAGTTTTTAGTACTTTTTTTGTTGTATAAATACTGTGTCGTTGTCAAGCATGCTTTTTTTATTTTAAATAATATATTTTTAATTTGCGAAATATATTTTTTAAAATGGCAATAAAAACCGTTACAAGTTAGACAGAAAAGATTTTCAAATTTAGTTTTTAAACTGTAAATCTAACAATCTTTTCAATAGATTTTAATTTTCTATTTATTTGTTCTTTTATTGAGTAACAAAAACTGATTGTCTTTGTCAATATAGTACCATTTTTACTAGAAATTATGCACTAACACTACTATTTTCAGCTTTTCTCTATTTTCTTAAAAAGTTCCTTGTAATATTCTTTGGCATACACTTTTAATTGAGTTTTCTTCTTTGGCTACTAACTCTTGCAGGATTCCACTATGACATGAAAATACCCGACCTAACGATGATGAGTGAACACATAATTTGAAAACACACATTTGTATTTGCGCACCCGATTGTAATAAAGGCGATGGTGTATGATGTACAAACTCTAATTGTAAAGAATCTTAAGAAAAAATAACAAATAAAATTAAAATAAATATAATTCATAAAAACATTAAAAATAATTTTGGTTATAATTACCTGTATCGTAGAAATTTCCCATACACCAGCGTAATAACATTTCCATAGGAAATTCCAAAATATTACGACGTATATGTTTCAGTAAATAATTAACTAAAATAATGCACAAACGTAACTAAAATAAAAAAAAAATAAATAATATGTTATGAACATAAAATTATATTTCCTATAACTTACCGATGTAAATACAACGTAATAAGTTAATACTGTAGGAAAAAGGAAGAGCAAGGAGGTAAAAAATACCGTTGCCAAATACAATTGTCTATTTTTATAATTATGGGACTCTACACGATCTATAGACAAAAAAATGCTATTATTAAATATATATAAAAAAATTAATACATACTTTTCAAAACATTTTTACGCTTGCCCAAAACTACTTTCCACAACACCTGCAAGCCCTTAATCTCTACTTTATATAATCTGTAATTAAAATTTGTTTAATTTTACTAAGAAAATAACAAATTTAAACACATAATACTTACACTGCAGCATAAATACTAAAACAATGAGCATGCAAACCCATAACCGATATTAAATCTGTTAAAAGCGCCAACTGATACGAAAAGCCTATAAAACCCAACAGTATTATAGGTGTAAGTAGTTGCCTAATGCAAGGTTCTATTATAACTGCAAAAATTTAGACATTTTTAACGGTTTTATTTATATTAGTAATTAATTTTTAATAATTACCTAAAAATGTAGCCCATAATTCGACATGATAACCAAAACAATCCAATAAAAATTTATTTAATTGTACATTTAATTTTAAACCTACAGGAGATCCTTGCAACGATTGTAACAGTAAACGGAAGTTGGTTACTACTGACTACGGAAAGAAATGTTGTTAATAGGGTTAGTTGTTTCAAAAATTTTAGAAATAATTTACATTAGAAGCTGTTATTATATAGTCACCAGGATTTTCTATATATAATATCAATAATATATTGACGCATAGGCCCAGTAGGATATCGAGGGCAATGTTATATTTTCGTTTTCTGAAATGAGATATATTTTATTTAAGTGGATATTTAACAGTATAGTCCAGGCTATATTCTATTTTATAGTCCAGAAATAGTTCTGTATTTCAGACTTTAGTCTATCCTATAGTTCATACTATAGTATATTCAATAGTCAGGACTATAGTCTATTCTATAGTCCAGAAGATAGTCCACTTTATAGTCTATTCTAGAGTCCACACTATAGTCTATTCTATAGTCCAGGCTATATTCTATTTTATAATCCAGAAATAGTTCTGTAGTTCAGACTATAGTCTATTCTATAGTCTAGACCATAATCTATTTTATAGCAAAATAAGATATATTTCAGACTATAAACTATTCTATAGTCTACTGTATAATATATACGTATATATAGTCCGGAATATAGTCTGCTTTATAGTCCAGTTCTGTAGTTCAGACTATAGTCTATTCTTAATCTATTTTATAGCAAAATAAAACAAATTTCATACTATAAACTGTTCTATAGTCTACTGTATAATATATACGTATATATAGTCCGATATATAGTCTGCTTTATAGTCCAGACTATAGTTTATTATATAGTTTAGGCTATAGTCTATTCTACAGTCCTTACTATAGACTATTTAATACTCTAGTCTAGACTACAGTATAATCTATCGTACAGATCATAATTTTTTCTATAATCTAGTCTACAGTATACCTATTCTATAGTGCGTAATTAAAATTTAGTAAAACATTCACAACACAATTACTATATTATATACATACTAGCTAAGCCCAAAAACTATATAGATAAAAAAACCTTTCCTTTTTCTTACTTACTTTTTTAGTAGGCAATATCCATATATACAAGTACTTGTATTTGTACAATATTTTAAAACTCTCACTATGAAAGGTGTAAAAGGAGCTATGTGCGCTAATGATAATTCGCCCATAAACCAACAACACAACCCAATAGTTTTCCAGATATAGGATTTTTTTATTTAATTCATATGGGAGGTATCGTGCCCCTACTTTTAGTCCGTCCATATTTTTCTCAAATGTTAATATTAATACCATAGCGGCTCGGACAAAATTTTAGAACTCTGTTATATTTTTTCAGATATGCTAATTTAATATTTTTTTAAATGGGATGTCCCACGCCCACTATTGCTAGTATACCAATTTTTGTCCAAATTTGTCATATTGAGCACTCAAACAAGTAATATTGTACGTGCAAAATTTGAGGACTCTAGTTGTTTCAGTTTCCGATTAAACGGCTTTTAATATTAATTTAGTAAGTGGGCGTGGCTCCTAACCTACTTGCTATTTAAAAATAAAAAGTAGCACTGTGAAAATTTCAAGAACATCGGTTTAGCCGTCTAACAAACAAGTAATTCATATAAATTTTTATATACATATATAGAGAGATAGATGTACTTAAGATCACTTACCCAGATTTCTTAAATTTTAACCATTCCTTATAATAATCATACATAACGGAGTACTGGAACACAAATCTAAATGGAGCCTTAGTCATAAACAAGCCAAATGTCCACATAAAAATATCAAAGGGTAAAGTTAAAACATAACTTGTCACACGTTTAAAAGTTTCATCGACTTCATCCACATCACACTCAAGTTTAAATTTATCTTTTGTTTGCAGCAATTGATACAACATGTGCATATCATCGTCAGGACAAACATCTGCATCAACTTTGGCATTATCCTCCTTATCATATACCACATTACTAACACTTTCATTTAAGTCTTGTAACTTTAATATGGATTTTTCACTATAAAGGAAGACATTGATTTTATCTTTTTGTGCCGTTTTAATACTTAATTTATTTAGATAAATATTTGGTGTTTCAGCATCATAAACAAAAACTAAAGCCACATCTTTGTGATGCAATTGAGACCATTCGGTGGCATTGGCAATATGACCTAAATGCCGCATTTCATTGGAAATTTGTTGTGCTCTTTCATAATCTTCAATGTCCTCATCGTTTTTCGAGGGTTTTTTAATGTCCACTGCACATATAATGTAATAAGAGATGCAATTCTGTTCACCAATTTTTATTTCACCATAAATATCACAACTTTTTTTAATATAAAATAAATTTTCGGGCAAAAATAATTTAATGGTCATTTTTATGTTCGATTGTAAACAAAACGAAAAACAAACTATTTTTTATTATTTTTTTTTTAAGGGAACAGCTGTGACAGGGTTGTATTTCAAATGTCAATGGTAAATATTTTGTAATAGAATAAAGATGACCGTTATCTTTCTTGCTAATGAAAATATTTATTTATGTAATTAATTAAAAAAAATTTATGGAATAGCTAATAAAATGGATGCGAGCCTTTTTTTTTTAAGAATGCACTAAATTCTCGACTATGGAATAGATCAAAGTCAAGACATACAAAAAACAAATGTGTTGAGTATAGACTAGAATTGCCTAGATTATAGAGCCTCGACTATAGTGTGATTAAAGTCCCGGATATAAAATAGACTAACGTTTCAATTATAAATTAGACTAATTGTCTCCACTGTAGAATAAACTAAAGTCTAGACTATAGAATATAATAGTCTTGACTATAATGCAGACTAAATAAAGTCTTTATTATAAAATACACTAGAGTTTCAACTATTACATAGACTAAAGCGTCGACTGTATGAATTAAGTATGGACAAGAAAATAAACTATAGAATAGCCTAAATCTCGACTATAGGTTACATTAAAGTCCCCTCTGTATAATAGACTAAAGTCTCTAAAGAATATATACAAAAAATATCTGCTATAGATTATACTATAATTATAATAAATTTATAAATAATATAATTGACGTGCTAGAGAGTCTTACTATGAAGTAGACTGAAGTTCCGATTATAGAGGAGACTACAGAATAGTTTTGATTATAATTCCTTCTACGAAATTTACTACAATCTCGACTATAGAATGGACTTCTTAAACAAAATTTATAATAATACTTTTTTATATATATTTACTTGTAATTATGTCTTTATTTGAATATTTTTATTTGGATAAACAACCAGTAATGTATGTATGTATATTTTTCATTAATTTTATTTAAAATGAAAAAAAAAAAAAATAAACGTTATTTGCAAGCCGACATTAAAATATCTTGTGAAATTATATAAAACAAACACCAAATTTTTTAAGAATTCAATAGGATTTGTTTTATATATAGACAAATGTAAAAATGCTTGATTTAAAACAAAAAAGGGAAAGTAAGTAAAACTAAATAAAGGAATTATAAGTTTAATTTTAATATTTATGAGCGTATACAAAATAATTTTTCCCAATAGCATAAAATAAAATCATTTACATTGTATATATATTTAACTAAAAAGATAATAATACCAAAAATAGTTAAGAAAACAGGAGCAAACATTTTTGGAGTTGTTTACATAGATTTAACAAACAAACCACTGATAAAAGATGTAAATAACTAACAAACAAACAATTAATAGAGAATACTCGTATATTAATTAATTGCTATGAATAGTGTGGTATATTTTTGATTTGTTTGTTGGTTGTTATTAATTAATTAATTAATTGGTTGGTTGGTTTGTTTTTTAAAATAGATAAAAATTTGGCTATGCAAACAATAACCAGGCAATGCACAAAAAGGCCAAATATAAAAATAATTTGGAAAGTTGCTGTTCATCCTCATATTGGGTAGTGCCACGGTTAGCAGCTAAAAATATTAAACAAAGACATAGATCAATATAAAATAGCCAAAAGTAGGAAAAATGAGAGAAATAAATAACTTACGTGCTGGACGTGGTTCACCGAAATTTAAAGATGATGCAAAATAACCAAATGGAAAAGCTCCAATACCAAAAGACATATGAAAACCATCGCCAAAACTAAAGCCTTGAAAACCTTGCTGTGGCTCTGGTTCAGTACGTTGGCCAGCTGGACGTGGTGGTACTTTATTTCTAAGTAAATAAGTAAAAAATATTATTGAAAAATAAACAAATGTATATTAAACTTTATAAGCTACCTGGGATCTTCCTGTTTAGTACTATTACGTCCATATAAGGGTATAACTTTATCCTTGCCTATGGCGGCTTTGCATACAGGACACAATTTACGACTAGGTCTAGTCTCTAGCCATTGATGCAGACATGGCCAACAGAATAGATGACCACACATACTAACCACAGCATCTTTAGCTGTGTCCAAGCAAATATTACACTCAAACATAGATTCTTCATTTTTATCATCCTCCTTATCACCGCCAGCAGTTTTATTACTCGAATTATTTGTATCCGTAGTATCTTTGTTTATATTAATGGCTTCACTACCCAAAGCAGAACCCGAAAATGAATATGCCGTCGATGATGGTGTGCTGGTGGTGGTTGTTGTTGCCGATGGTAACATTTTCTCATTAATTGTTGGAGCCTGTATAGAAGAGTTTATTTCTGCTGTATCTGCTACTGCTGTTGTTGTACTATTGGTTTCATTGTTGTCATTGAATGCGGCATTCCATGCTTCACCCTCTGCTGTATTATGACTTGTAGTCGTTGGCAGTTCTGGTGCCGTTGCTAATGGTGTATCGGTTGACATATTTATCTGGGGTAATATTAAACTGTAAGAATTAAAGAACTAGAAAAAAAGCATAGAATATGTAATTGCATAATTTCAAATTGGTATTAGTGACGAAAAGGAAATATTGATAAATGCAAGTACATGTTCTTACAGATACATTTAGATGTACCCTACAGTTTTGAAGATGACAAGATTCTCTTTTTATAGTCTCGTCTAAAGATTAGTTTATACTCTCGACTATATATTAGTGTAGTCTATAATCTCGACTATAGATTAGTTTATAGTCTAGACTGTAGATAAGTCTATAGTCTCGACTATAGATTAGTCTATAGTCTCGACTATAGATTAGTCTATACTCTCGACTATAGATTAGTCTATACTCTCGACTATAGATTAGTCTATTCTCTCGACTATAGATTAGTCTATAGTCTAAACTATAGATTAGTCTATAGTCTAAACTATAGATTAGTCTATAGTCTAGACTATAGATTAGTCTATAGTCTAGACTATAGATTAGTCTATAGTCTAGACTATAGATTAGTCTATAGTCTAGACTATAGATTAGTCTATAGTCTCGACTGTAGATTAGACTATATCTTGACTATTGATTCGTCTATACTCTTGACTATATATGTATTAGTCTATAGTCTCGACTATATATTAGTCTATATTCTCGATTTTATATTAGTCTATAGTCTGGACTATAGACTAGTCTATAGTCCCGACTATAGATTAATCTATAGTAAATGCAAATATTATTCGATACATAGTATCGAATATGGAATAGATTGTAGTCGATAGTATAGTGTTTATTATAGGCTATACTCTCGACTTTTGAGTAGACTATACAACATACTATAGTCTGGACTAGACAATATACTAATATATCGACAATAGAATAGACGATAGTATTGACTATAAAGTACTCCATAGTGTCGACTACACAATAGATTATTCTTTTACTAAGTGACTTCAAACAGTATGTTTCTTTAAATGATTAATAAACTTTTTTTTGAAAATAGTCTCCCCGTACAGCTGGGTAATCATCTAAATGTAAATCAGGCATGCGAAATGAAAATTACATTTTGTACAAATGAATTTTGTAATATTGTACTTATTCAGCTTTGAATGTACCACTATTAAGGTTAAGTAGTTGTTATAGAAAAATAATACTAAAAAAGAATAATATAAATAAAATACAAAACAAAATCACAAATTTGTTAAAGATTACACCAAATATAAACTAAAAATATGACTACAATTTTGAAATAAAAAAAAAAAAAACGATAAATTAACAAAAATTTTAATCTAAATTGTAACAACCAATGTTTACATCTAACTAATGTAAACCAAAAACATAGACAAAGAAACCTTATAAACTAACAGAAACTTGTTTTTTAGTGTTAACCATATAACAAGTGGCAAATAGGTCTAAGAACAGAAATATAGAACATTTATATTTGAAATATTTATGAATATTTAACATTATCTACGTAGTGATGAGTTTTTAATTTTATAAATATTGTCCTGTATTTATTTATTAAATTAATAAAATCTTTATTACCAATGGCATCAGTACATGAAACCAAATGAGTCTTTACTGGTTTAAATAAGTTCGCCTAGATCCTGAATTTTATCCAATTTATGAAAGGATTTGTAATCAAATATTCGCTGTGAAATATTAGATAAATTCAAAGATACAAAAAAAAAAAAACTTTCAAGTTAAATAATTTGTAAATTGTTCCTATTATAATATACGAAAGTTATCTAAAATAAGCCTATACTTAATTAAAGCAAAAATTAGTTTTCATCTTTTAAATTTATTACGAGTTTTAGACGAGTTAGATACAAACGTTAACTATATTAAGCTCATAAACAAATAAGATAACGATTTATAAAAAAATAATTGTGTGTGCATATGTAATCTTACGTTTATATTTGCGTTAATCATTAGATAAGGTTTATTGAAAAAAAAAAAAAAAAAAAACTAGCAAATTTTGATAAGAAATAAAAATAACAACAAAGTAAATGAAAACAAAGCATATACGCAAAAATCAATTAGATTAAGAAATATTTTATTATTGTAGAACTAATGCAATATTTAAAAATATAAAAAAATTTTGCAAATAATAGATTATTAAATTTAATCTAAAAATATTGTTCTATAAACCTTTTATTAATGACTAGTAAGTCTATATGAAGATGACAACATAATATATTTGAGTCTATATTCTAGATTATAGTCTGCATAGCAGTATCGGCTATGTTCCAGACTATAGACTAGATTGCTGTTTAAACTATCAACTGACTATAGTCCCGACTGTGAACTATATTATAAACTTGACTTTAATGCAGACAATGAATAGATTACAAACCAGACTTGACAATAGATATAGACTAGACTATAAATTATAGTCTAGACTATAGATCATAGAGACTAGACTATAGAGTTGACTACAAACTAGACTATGAACTAGACTAAACTATAGATTAGACTGCAGACTAGACTACAGAGTAGAATATGGACTAGACTATAGACATGACAATAGGCTTGACTATAGACTTGACTACAGACTAGACTATAGTCCCGACTGTAGACTAT